GGGCGTCGTCAAAGAGCTCGCAGAGAACAACCACTTCTTAGAGAGGTCAGGCTGAAACACCACCGTTAGCCTAGCTTAGCACAAACACTGGAAGCGGGGGGAAACTGCTAGCCGAGTTAATATCTTGTTATTAATCACAATAGATCCCAGAACATGACGGACTTTAAAGTGAGCGTCTGTAGAAACTAAAGAGGCTGTAAGGGGTTAAAATAGCGCCCGGGCCCTCCTGAGATATTTGACCAAATCCCTCCGCTTCCAGTCTTTTATGCTAAGCTAGGCTAAAAACATCCAGAACCTTTTTTTGCAAAACGTCTTCTTCACTTTTCAGGGTTCAGGTTTTAATATTTCTGTTTTCTTTCAGGTTCGGGACGCTGACGCTGGACGGAGGCCTGCGAGGCTAAAAAAAGCAACCTGAAGTCTGTACATATTTTTGTGTTTATCTTGTAAATACGTCGGGACTGTGACACAAAGCTTTTTGTATGAGCGGTTCAGATGTGCTCATGAACACGTGACAAAAACTCTGCATCACGAAGAGCTTCAGCTCACCTTTAAAGGTCACATATTATCCTCCAACACAGAACAGAACAGGCTGTTTCTGTGTCTGTACCTTTAAATATGTAAATGAGCAGTGTCTGACCACGCCCCCTCTCTGGAAGGTGCTTTGGTGTACTCTGGCTTTCTCGCTCCATGTCCTATTGTTTACGGTGAGAAGGCAGACTCAGGGCAGAACAAACACCTAGCTGTGGGAGTGTCACCCACCTGGGGGAGGGGCTACTGCCCTTTGTGATGTAATGAAGGGAACATCTCCAAACGGCCTGTTTGAGCACACATTTTCTGAAAAGTGGAGCAGGCAGAAGACGGAGAGGATGGACTTTTCTCATCATAGGGGGATTTGTAGACAGACTAGAGACACATGTTAGAGTGAGAGGAACATGGAGAAGAGGATTTTAATATATATGACCTTTAAATAATCTTATTTTTACCAGACGAACAGCCTGGGAACAAAAACCCTTAATGGTTGTATCAGTCTTTGGTCTTAAATATGTGACAGTGTTTGGATCTAAAGGTCTTAAAGGGGCGGTGTTCCCCTCTCTGTACCCCTCCACCACATTCAGATCGAAGGCCAAATGCCACAGGAGCGTAAATATCACGGCTTGAAACAGCGGTCTGAAGACGGTTATTTAGAGAACTTAAAAAGGCAACAACATTAGAGGCATTAAAATCCTTTAAAATGTTTCAACTATTACAGAAAACTTTTCTTCATCTGTTTGAAATATTCAGAACTTCAGTGACTTTTCATGATTTTCCTTTTTAAGAGTTATAATCCATTTAAAACCTCTTAAAAAGTTCAGATAATCATCTAAAAATCAATCAGTGATCTCTTCATCTGAAATGATTCCTTTCTTTAAGTGACGGTACGTTAAAGTGAGAACATTAAGGGACGTTATCTGATGATTTTTTTGGTGTTTAGAGTTCTTGCAGGCCGATCAGTCATCAGTCACTTCCTGTGTCAGCATGCAGAAACACGTCCTCTCCTCGTTCAGCAGCTTCATCTTTTACTCTTTAGATGTTGCGCTTTTGTTTTGTCAGCATTGAAAATGTTTAAAAAATCCTGTAAATAAAAAAACAAAAGATAGTGACTTCTGAACGTGTAACTGTCCAGTTTTCTTTTCTTTTTAATCTCAAACTTCTCGTCCTCTCTGATGTTTAAATCTTTCTCCTTGGAAAAAAAATCTTTCTCTCGTCTCCCCCGTCATGTTTGTTGTCCTCCCTCCTCCATCATCGGCACCATCGCTGGTTACCCCTGGCGACCGGCTTGTTGGAAAATCACCATCTCCATGCTGTGCTGTGCTGCGGTTGCCACGGCAACATGCTGCGACAGCACACCCCCGTCAGCATCAGAGCAGTAATCGTCGTCGTAGGCTGAGTCTCAATCTCCGCCTCGAAGCCTGAGCACTGAACGCTCTCAGGTCTGGTGTGTGTGTGTGTGTGTGTGTGTGTGTGTGTGTGTGTGTGTGTGTGTGTGTGTGACACCAGCTAAGGGGCTAACCCGGGCTCAAACCGTTTTATTTATTGTCACCAAGCTCAAAGAAAAACCACCTTAAAGGATTTAAAAGTATAAAACTCAACAACTTTATAAAAATAAAACAGAAACCTTCAACATGTTTTCTTAACTTGAGTTTGTTTCTTTTGAACGCAGAGAAAAAGAAAAACATCAATAAAAACCTTCCAGAGGATTTCACTTTCAGATCTTGAGTTTCTGATCAGGTCTTCAGGGTGCCGGTGGCCTAGTGGTTGTTGTGTGTACCCCATGTGAAGAGGATGTGGTTTCAGGTTTAAAATAATATTTATCTCTAATTTAAAGTTTATATTTTTGGGCTGTAAAGCTCAATAAATAAAAACTACAAATATGGGGTGGGGGGTGGGGTGGGTTTCTCCCGTCTCTTGGGCCCCAAACTCCTTCAGTCCGCCCCTGTTAGTCAGAAAACATCCACCCTCGTCTTCATCAGCCGGAGCTTCATCACCCAGCGGACACACAGACAGGAATCACAGGTGGACGGAGAGACAGACAGGTGGACGGAGAGACAGACAGGTGGACGGAGAGACAGACAGGTGGAGAGAGAGAGCCAGGCAGACAGACGGACATGATGAGTGCTGCCTTCACGGACCTCCTCCTCCTCCATCCTGCTCTGAATCACGGAAAAACACCACCATGACGTTTGATGGCGCTCTGCTGTGAACCGGTGAGTCCACACCGACACACACCGACAATTAATCCCGAAAACACACCTCGCTGACCGGACTCATTAACGACACGTTACGGGGGGCTCCGCGCGGAGGATTTCACCTCTTAATCCTTTTAACACCTGTAGACATCTGGCGGGAAATCTACGTCACTTTACTTCGTAGTTTACGTTTTTTTTTTTTAGTAGATTTTTTTAAAGACATTTATTTATTGGTCAGGTATCTGAGAGGGTCCGCGGAGGATCCGGATCAGGAGCAGACATGTTGTGCAGGCCGGATACATGATGCTGCTCTGCCTCCATCATCATGTTTATCTCGTTATCTGATTGATTTCTGATCGATGGATTATAAACTAAAGGATTCAAATAAACACAGAAAGCTCTGAGGACGACAGTTAAAAACCAAGGAATATTTTTTATTCTCCATAAATCTGAATTTCTTTGTTAAATCATGTTTTTTCTTTTCTCACAGGTGACATTTTTCAATGAGCTCCAGGTTCACCCCCATGTTGTTTTCCGGCAGGTATTCGACTAATTAAAGTCGATTTACTCAAATACTGTCCCCCCCAAGTGAAATATTGTTAAGCTTAAGGGGGAAGCATCTTTTTATTTTACATGTTTTTATAAATGACAGAAACGTGAATTGAGTCTGTGTCGGAGGTTTCGGTGCTCAGTATTTTTCCATTAAGAGGTTTCACTCTTCAGTGAAATCAGGTTGGATAGATCAGTGTGCATGTGAGTTCAGATATGTTATCTATTTATTACCTTTATGACATCACAACTGTCATAATGTTTACTCTGATGTGTTTACAGCCTGATCTAAGGTCTGATCAACACAAACCAGTTCAACAAAAAAATAAACTTGCATGGTTAAATGTCACCTTCAGATCTGCATTAAAGTACATTAAGGTGCTGTAAAGATTTGCCAAATGTATCATCCCTGTCTTCAAAGCCATCAGACTCCATTGAAAAGCTGTCATTTTAACTCACAGAACAAAGGAGATGCTGCTCTTCTGTTATTATGTGTTTTTTTCTCAGCGTTAACGCGTTAATTGCGATTCAATTCAATACTGGAAATGGACGACATCGCTGCTTGTGGCTCATTACACTCCCAGACGGGGGGGGTGCTGATGACCTAGTCGTGGTTAGGTCGGGCCCCCTGTACGGAGGCTATATGGTGCTTCAGAGCTGATATAACAACTGCTTGTGTTTCTCGAGTACACTTCATGTGTGTGTAGTGTTTACTTTGTTTTCACCGGTTCACCTTCTAACCACCAGTCAGGATGGATGAGGTTGCTATGAAGGAAATCCAGAGGAGTAAACACTTTGATAAAGAGAGAGAGAGATCTCCCTCCCTTTGGGTTTCTCCGCATTCTTAATGGGCGACCTCAGAGGAGAGCTGGATCTCTGTGGACACCAAGCCGGATCCCCTTGAAGGATTAATGAAATCATCCAGCAGCTCGGGCTGCTGCTGAAGGTGTCAGGAGGTTGTGGTGTTTACACAAATGGCCGGTGTGATGCTCCGAGGTGCATTTAAAACATGCATTCATGTCTTGGATTGATTCCCTGTATGCCTCTGGTTTCCCCAGATGTAACTCCTCAAGTGGAACTTTGTCTTCATTACATCGTTTACATCGTGCTGACAGCTAGCTGAGGCATGTTTCAGTTTGTCTGCGATGTTGGTTTTCTTAATTGGAAGAAATCCCATCTTCATTAGAGCGAAAGTAAAAGTATCATCAGCATACCAACGAACCAAAAGTCAAAGCGTAGTATCAACACTCCTTTCAGTCAAAATGGATTTCCCAAGCAATCTACTTTCCAACCAACTATCGGCCGAACAGCTTACCAATCTACCTTTCTACCAACTCACTGAAGGATTGTCCAACCAAACAAGACACAAACCTTCCTATTTAAACCCCTCAACCTGAGCTAAAAACATGACTTAAATATTGACCACCAGCCCTCCGATCTTCCAACCGTCTACAATTCTACAATTGAATTGCCTCCCGGGGACAAATAAAGTTTTTTTTAATTGAATTGAATTGAATTCCCTTAGCAGACGCTTTTCTCCAAAGTGACGTACATCAGAGAGTAAGAACAACACAAGCAAGGATCTAGAAAAAAGGGAACAATGTGAGTAAGAGCAAACGATCAGCTTTGAGTCTGATTGGACACACAGGTGCTGACAGGAAGTGACCAGAGGCAAAGCACAACATTGAGGGCAGTTCTTGAGAGCTCTAATCAGTATAGAAACCATCTTATAAGTCGTCGTTATCAAACAAAAACCATCGTCATTACCATCATCATCATCAATAATATGGAGACCATCATCCCTACCGACCATCAACCTTACCAACCTTCCTCTGTGTTTGCCAACCGACCAAGGCATGTCCCAAGAAACCTTATCGACTTATCGACCAACCAACTGACCAAAGAGTCACACAATCAACCAACCGTCCAAACTCCAAACTATTCCAGCAACATACCGATCTATGGACATACCGACCAGCAGGACTGAAGGATGGCTAAACCAACCAACCTGCTGACCTCAGCCGACCAAAAGAACAATAAACCAACCAACCAAACCACATGCAAACCAACCAGTGATGGTTCTAGACCACTTTTACTGAGGGGGCCAAACTGGGGCCAGTTGTTTTGTCAGAGGGGAACATTAAACCCAGGTGAAAAATAGACAAAGATGATCTCTTTAAAATATATATATTATGCCAAATAATAGTGCACATCATTAAATACCATGATTTATTTTTGTTTCAGTAACAGAATTTAATACTAGATTGTGAGTCCGGTTGGTGAGTCAAATATCATTGTGTTATGGGGGTTCTTCCTTTTGGAGGGGTGGCCACAGGGGGGACCAAGCTCAGTGTTACCGGGGTACTGGCCCCTGTTGTCCCCTGCCTAGAACCGCCCATGAAACCAACCAAAAAACCCACTCCATGTTAGATGCATTAAATTGATGTTTTTGACCCAAAAGTTTTGAACTAATTGTGATTTTGTTTCTTTGTCTCCACAGCGTCTCTCTGGTACAGACGTGTAGCGATGGTGTATGCTCAGTCTTCAAATACAGTCGGTGTCAACCCATCCCTCTACTCTCCATCTTTCACCTATCAGATGTCATTTAACTACTCAGTGAAGGAAAACGCGACTGTCCTGGCAACCTTACCCACAACCCCCCTCTGCAGCCTCGAGGGCCAGCTGAACAGGACCTCGGCCTCCTATGAGCTGACGACGGGCGAGGCGGTCGTCCTGGGCTTGGTTTTCGGGGTCCTCTGGTTGGTCTCCATCCTGGGAAATGCCCTCGTCTGCCTGGTCATCCACCGGAGCCGGCGGACTCAGTCCACCACCAATTACTTTGTGGTATCTATGGCCTGTGCGGACCTGCTCATGAGCCTGGGTTGCGCCCCGTTCATCCTTCTTCAGGTCGCTGCGGGACAATGGCCGCTGAGCGCCGCGGCCTGCAAGATCGTGCGCTACCTGCAGCACCTGTGCGCCGGCGTGCAAGTCTACGTCCTGCTCTCCATCTCTGTGGACCGCTTCTACACGATCGTCTACCCGCTCAGCTTCAAGGTGTCCAGAGAGAAAGCCAAGAAGATGATCCTGGCCTCGTGGCTGTTCGACGCCGCCTTTGTGTCGCCCTGCCTCTTCTTCTACGGCTCCATGTCTTCAGTCAGCGGTCACTGTGACTTCTTTCTCCCAGACAGCTGGGGCAGTATAACCTACGCCGCCGTTCACCTCCTGTTTGGTTATCTGGTCCCGGTTGGGCTGCTGGTGTCGTTCTACCAGCGGGTGGTTCGCTACATCTGGAGGATCAGCGCCGACGGACGCACGGTGCGCCGGACGATGAACATTGTCCCGCGGACTAAAGTCAAGACCATCAAGATGTTCCTCATGCTCAACACAGTGTTCTTCCTCACGTGGACGCCCTTCTACATCGCCCAGCTGTGGCACCCCAGGGAGTCCGACGGACCCGGTAGGCGGGGCCTGCTGTTCTTCACGGCCATCGCCTGGATCTCCTTCAGCTCCTCGGCCTCCAAACCGACCCTGTACTCGGTCTACAATGCAAACTTCAGACGGGGCATGAGGGAGACCTTCTGCATGTCGTCGATGAAATGTTACCGCAGCAATGCGTACACCATCACGGCCAGCTCCCGCATGGCCAAAAAGAACTACATCGGGGTCGTGGAAATCCCGGCGCAGGCTAAGACGGGTACAAAGGACTCGGTTTACGATACGTTTGACCGAGAGGGGAAGGAAAAGAAGGTCGCCTGGACCACCAACGCCAACCCTCCAAATACTTTTGTCTAAGTGAGTCGGGACGGTCTCAGACTTTGAACGTAGAAATGAACTGAAACAGCACAGTGTCAGTGTTGACAGGTGAGCTAGCTGGGACTAACATGCTAGCCTCCCCCCCAAAAAACAAGTCTCTCACAGGAACAGAATGTTTTCAGTTGGTAAAAAAGGGCTTTTTTCAGATGTAACCAGCTGGCCGGCAGCCATATTGGAAGTTCTCAGCAGCTCTGATGAGCTAGCTGGTTTTATATTTCAGATTGTAGTCATCACTTATTGTGCTGTGTTTTGATGATTTGGTTTTTTTGGTATTGTTTTATCAGATCTTGCGTTATGATGTCAGCTTGTCAGCTAGCTAACCCTCGTCTGTGGCCTCTATCGGTGACCTGCTGTCGATGCATCTAATGGCTTCAGTCGTGTGTTTGGTAGAAGCTAACGTCCGTTGTGGCTACTCGCTGTGTGTTAACATCATCATCTTTGTTACACTGCAGCTGTCATGATACCAGATTTTTAAACCTCGATATGAAGATATTTTAAATAAAATGATATCGATATCGATTTCAATACAACGACAACAAAAGGTTGTTGTTTTTGTTTTTTATTCCTAAACTTCCGGTAAACTCCTTCAATCTTCTTTTTTATGGTTTACACTTGTCTTATATCGAAGTTTAAAGTTCTGTTACCATGACAACCCTACTTCTTCATACTCACTATGAATTCAGTCGAGTCGTGAGATGCTTAAACGTAACACTACATGTGGTATCAGATGTTTGTCGAGATAATGTGTTATGAACAAATGAATTATTCTTTTATAAATATAATAATTAGTAAAATCAGCAAAAATAAAAGACTCACTATGTCTCTCTGTAGTTTGTTTTTATATGCTTCTGCAGTTCTCCATATTTCTTATTCTTAACCCTGACATAGAGAAGTGATTGGACCCATCACTTTGCATCTATTTGTATTTATTTGCACAAAGGGCAAAATAGAAGATACATAAAACATGAAAAAGGGAACATACAAATAACTTCTTGAGGGGAACAGATTCATTAAAATCAGGGGTGTCCAAAGTGCGGCCTGAGGGCCATTTACGGCGCTTGAGGGGATTTTCTGCGGCCTGTGACTCCAAATGAAGAATCAGAAGATTTTGGCCCGAGGCCTCGATTAAGATCGGCACATTATCTTATTTTTCTTTTTCATGTTAACAAGGGAACAATATTCCTAAAATAGAAAATGTTCAGTTCATGTTGTTTTTTTTAGTTTTTTTTTAAATCTACAGCTTTTACTATTTTCCAATTTTTGTAAACTATGAAAACAAAGGTAAGCAAAGTTTTTGTTTAACCATTTAATGACCTGAGCTGAATGCAGAAAGCTTTTCCAAAAACATGAACCACGTTACAGACTCTGAGAAAAAAACAAATAAAGTAGAACAAAGAAATCAAAATATTTGATTTCCTTTTATTAAAGGGTTTCTTTAGCGAGCCTTTTGATTCTGATCTACAAAGCTTTACTATTTTAAAACTATATTTTAAAAAACAAAACCTGTGGCCCGCGAGCGATTCTAACACGATTATTTTAAGACGACTAAGAAACAAAGTTTGGACTCCGCTGATTAAAATGATTATTTTACCTTTTTGTCTGCCGCTCTACTGCATACAATCTCCAGGTCGATAGGTGGCGGTACTGCGTCTTTAAGCTCGACTCGCCCGTCAAATCAGAAGACGAAGAGGAAGAAAATCTCGCGAGAAGCTGACGTAATCCTCTACGTCAACAGGAAACGTGAAAAATAAACAACAGAGGCCAGCGATCTCCGTTAGCTGTCCGTGTTTTTAACTGAACGCGGATTTAATTTGTTGTTTCATCGACATCTTTGTTTCCTCCGCGGGCTTTTGTTCATCTCCGAGGTGTTAGCTGAGAGAAGCTAACGGAGCTAGCTGCCTTCACGGTAGCATCAAACCAAAATGGATGATAACAAGGTGAGAAGCTAACGGCTACATGCTAACCTACAGTTTACCTGTGATAAGAGTTTCTTTGTTTAAAGTAGAAACACAGGTACAGTTCACCTTTAAACATTATATATTATATATATATATATTATTATATTATTATATATTTCAGACATCAAATAAAATCAAACTAAATGAAAAGCACGAAAATAAAATAAACAAAAAACAATGTTCAGATTATTTAACAAAAAAAAGAAAATAACAAATATTAAATTGATATGTCTGAAAAGGAAGAAGTATAAAACTTATTTAATCATTTTCAACAGCTTAATAATTAATATTTATTCCATTAAATGAACTTCCTGTGTTCCTTTATTACAGAGTTACAAAGAGAAAGTGAACACAGTTTAAATAACAATAGATCAGATAATGTGTAATCTCTAAATATATACAATCTGATATAATATATTTATGATACTGTATTTGAAAACAGTGTTACAATGTAATGTTGTTAAACAATGAATGTAACAGAGTTCAGATGCTGTGCAGGTAAAGGTGTGTCCATTAACCTGATATTTATCACATCGAGAGAGAGAAATAAATAATACGGTATTAAATGTTATGTGTGGGGGCTGCGTGGCTCTAAAGGGTTAAATTCATACGTTCACACACTAAAATATGACTAATGTGTGTTTGACTTCTGCTTCACCCACACTGTTTTCTTTCTGTGTTTGTTTGTATGTTTGTTTTCCCACATGTGAAGTCATTGGGTAAATAAATAAATATCCTCCGTACATTATTTATTTAATTAATTTATTTGTTAGGGACAGTGAATATTAATGAATGTAGTACACTCAGTTTACTGCACATTGCACAGGTTTACTTTTTCTTTACATTTTATTTTGTTGTTTGTTTTGTTTTGTACCTTTTGCACAATTTAGAATTTATTACTGTAAATATTATTTATCTTATTTTACCTTATTTTATTTTATCTATTTTACCTTATTTTATTTTATCTATTTTACCTTATTTTATCTATTTTACCTTATTTTATTTTATCTATTTTATCTTATTTTATTTTATCTTAATTTATTTTACCTTATCTTATTTTATTTAATCTTATTTTGGTTGTATTGCACCGCGGGACGGAGACAAAAGCAATTTTGATTCCACTGCATGTCTGACATATTTTGAAATTGACAATAAAGTTGACTTTGACTTTGATGAACAGCTGTAACAATTACAGCTGTAAGAATCCATCTGTTGTCCCTAAGCAGGTAACAGAGAAAGACAAATTACAAATAAAATACAAAGGCACAAGAAAAGACAATAATAGAGGTTAAAGGTCACAGACTTGTTTGAAGTGTTTTGAAGGTTGCATATGTTTGAGTCTCTTATTGTGAGTGGGAGAATATTCTAATATTTAGTTCCTTTGACCGACAGAACAGTTTGAATGCAGTGCGTCTGTGTGGGGCCTCACAGTCTCCTCGGGCTGTGGCCCCTGGTGCCGATCCCACTGGCAGACTTCAGCTTTATAAAGTCCTTCAAAGGAGGAGGAGCAAGTCCGTGCAAAATTTTATATATAAAACATTTTTAAAATGAACAAAATTATGAAAATTTAGTAAATAATGTTTATCTAAAAGAGTGCAATGGTGAAACGAAAATGGCTTTTTGTCAAAGATCTTTATGGCCTTTTTAAAAAGAGATTGTGTTGGTTTAAGTGTTGTGCCAGCAGAAAGTGACCATGTGGTGATACAGTATTCAATATGTGAAAAAGTCATCATTAGATGAGAGCCATGACCTCTAGGCTCTCCAGTGGTCCGATACAGTTTGATTTGAATTAGTTTCATATCAAAGCTTTAAATTCTGTTATCACAACAATCCTGCTGACTTGTTTCTGTCGTCAGATGGTGGCTGGCAAAGTAAAGAAACCTGGCAAACGGGGACGCAAACCTGCAAAGATCGACCTGAAGGCCAAACTGGAGCGAAGCCGTCAGAGCGCGAGAGAGTGTCGAGCCCGGAAGAAGCTGAGGTACCAGTACCTGGAGGAACTGGTTTCCAGTAAGGAGAGAGCCATCTGCGCCCTGCGGGAGGAGCTGGAGATGGTGAGGGGACATTTCAGTCTTAACATAATGTTTAAACATTTTCATCTGCTTTTTATTTCTAATCATTCCTAAAACACACAGGGAGCCGGTGAAGTGAGGCACAGTGATTTCATTTTTTCTGTTCATCGTTTAATAGAGGCATCGTTCATTTTGACGACCTGAATGTTTCCCGCTCTATCAGCTGATCGTTTTACATTCTGGATGTTTATCGTTGTTTTTGTGTTTTTCGTCTGCAGTACAAGCAGTGGTGTTCGGCCATGGATCAGGGGAAGATCCCGTCAGAGATCAAAGCTCTGCTGACGGGAGACGAGCAGAAGCTGCCTCCAGGGGGCAGCAGCACCAAGACGTCCAAGAACAAGAACAACATCAGCAGCAGTAACGGCTGAAAGGGAACGTGGACCTGTGAGAGACTCGGTGTGTTTAACCTGCTGCTGCTGCTGATGATGATTCTGTCCGCTTCAAACACACACACACACACACACACACACACACACACACTAACCACAGGAACACACACCCACACACTAACCACAGGAACACACACACACACACACACACACACACACACACACACCCACACACTAACCACAGGAACACACACACACACACACACACACACACACACACACACACACACACACACACTAACCACAGGAACACACACACACACACACACACACCCACACACTAACCACAGGACACACACACACACACACACACACACACACGTAGCTACAGGCTCCAGTACTTTTCTTCTTGTTAATCTCAGATCGACGACATAAAGAGGATTCTCTGTAATGATCCCACAAACCTTCAGTTCTTCTTTATGTTCCCCTCCATCACTCAGTCATGTGACTCATGAATAATGATAAATACGTCATTTGTGGATGTTTTTTTTCATGTTTTATCGTTTTTAGGGGTTACCTTCAGAGACAGGACAGTGGACAGAGTCAGAAATCGGAGAGAGAGAGAGAGAGAGTAGGGAATAGCGTGGCGCCCCCCTCACCGTCATCTGTATGTCGGTGTATTGTTGTTTATTCTCTTATTTATTTTTGTGTCACAAATGACTTTAACCTGCTCATCTTAGGGCGTGTGTCCACCTGGCGTTGTCTTTTTTCCAGTTGTTCCAAATGAGGAGAGAGCGTTTATTTGTCTGTAGCAGGCGGAGAAAAGGCGCCGCGCTCACCGTCCTGTTCCCTTTTTTTTATACCGCCGCTTCTCCCGCTCCGCCTCACTCTGTAGATGAACTTTTTTTTGACGAGATTCATCAGCGGTGCCTTAAAGACACTCAAATAAGAAAAGCCGCGTTTTGAAGTGTTTCACTGGATATTCTGTCACATCAGGTGATCGGTGACGTGAGGGGCGGTGGATCGATGATGACGCATATTGTAATGGTCGTCCTCCATCGGCGTGGGAAACACTGCAGCACTTATTTTTAAAATGTTTTAATCGACAATAAACGGCGTCCGTGGAGTCGTTCTTTACGACAAGCCTGTAAAGCGTGATGTCATGTTGTCAGGGCGGTTTCCTCTGAAACCTAAAACTGAAATTTACCCAATTAGCTTCAAATTTCCAACTCAGATTTCCTTCTTCTCTGAACAGACGATCGTTAAAACGTGTCGTCTTGATGGCGTTTTTGACTCCCATGACTGACCTGTGTTTAATGACCGTCACATTCACTACACGAGTCGTCGACTGGCGTTGGAAACGTTGGATTTCGTTTTCTGTTTTTTTTTTTTTATCCCATCAAGGAGCTCCAATCATTAATGTTTTTTAAAATATGAAGGTGTTTTTAAGAAGTCGTCCCTCCTGAGTTAGAACGCAGACAGGAAGTCAGATGAGGGAATGAAATGTACAGAGATGTCGAAAGAGTGTGTCGGATATATTTTTGTATTTTTACGTGTGGGCTCAGAGAAAGCTCGTTTTTCATTTTGTGAGTGTTTCGTTAAAAGTTTGGGCTTTTCCTTCCCTTCATGCCTGAAGTTATAACTTCTCTCTATCCGTCATTACGAACGTTTATAAGCTCTTTTGATTTTTGTGTCTTTTTTTGTTACAAAAACTTTGTGCACTTTCTTATGTTTGGCTGAAGCACTTTGTTAGACGATTGTAGCTCGAGGCTTTGCAACATTTCATCTCTGAACTCGTGTTTGTCAAAGAAAATAAAAACGTGTTTGACCACTAGAGGGCGCTGTGTGTGAACTCCTTGTTTCAACTGATCCTGTATTTGATCATGCCTATAAACCCCTCTATTTCAGCCCTGCTCAGAACAGGCTGTTTCTGTGTCTGTACCTTTAAATATGTAAATGAGCTGTGTCAGACCACGCCCCCTCTCTGGAAGGGCTTGGGTGTACTCGGGCCCTTTCCGAATTGTCACAGTTCAGTAGACAGTACGTACTATTCAGTATGGAGTTTCAGTATACTGAACATTTCAGTATGGATACTAACTTCCTGGTTTCATGCAGTATGGATCGGATTCGTGCTTTCAGGAAATGAATTGTGTTTTACGCCTCCAAATCAAAACAAACGAGCGTGGATTAATTTAATCAATTTTTAATCTAGAGTTAAAGTCCCGACTGAAATCACTACTTTAAATTAACAACAAAAAATATAACAAATGTCTGCATTATTATAAAACCTTTCTCCCTCTATTTAAATAATGATTTCACTATTTAAATGTGTCTTTATTGGTTTATTTTATATTCTGTATATTACTGTCTTTCATTTGTTCTTTATGTACTGTATGTTATTTAGTTATTTAATCTTTTACTTGATTTACATTGTGATATTGTTTTTTGTTTACCTGACTGTATATGAGCATTACTCTTCTTGAATAAAGATAAACAAATTTTTTTAAAAACGGGTGAATGTGCCCGGTTTGGGAAACGTAAATGACGTCACTTCCTCACTGAATGAATCAGAAGAAGTAGGAACAAATATCTGTCTACTGTGTGCATACTGAAGAGTAGGTACTAACAGTATACAGCACAGATAGTACGTACTGCATACTGAAGAGTAGGTACTAACAGTATACAGCACAGATAGTACGTACTGCATACTGAAGAGTAGGTACTAACAGTATACAGCACAGATAGTACGTACTGCATACTGAAGAGTAGGTACTAACAGTATACAGCGCAGATAGTACGTACTGCATACTGAAGAGTAGGTACTAACAGTATACAGCACAGATAGTACGTACTGCATACTTACTGCATACTGACAGATTGAGGAGGTACTTGGCAATTCGGGTACGGCCTCGGGTCTTTCTCGCTCCATGTCCTATTGTTTACGGTGAGAAGGCAGACTCAGAGGGCAGAACAAACACCTAGCTGTGGGAGTGCCACCCACCTGGGGGAGGGGCTACTGCCCTTTGTGATGTCATGAAGGGAAAATCTCCAAACGGCCTGTTTGAGCACACATTTTCTGAAAAGTGGAGCAGGCAGAAGACGGAGAGGATGGACTTTTCTCATCATTGGGGGTTTGTAGACGGACTAGAGACACATGTTAGAGTTAGAGGAACATGGGAAGAGGATTTTAAATAATATGTGACCTTTAAGAGTGTTCGTCTGCAGAGATAGTGAGACAGACTTTGGATATATAAAATAAAATGTCAATAATTAATGTTTAAATTGACCTGCTCCTCGTTATGAGGTCACTCATTATTAAATGAATCTCTGCAGTCACACACAGCAGATCATCACTGACAGAAGTCGTATTGTTACATTGTGTTACGTGCAGAGTGTAATTAGACTGCGGCCCTGTGTTAGCATGTTGGCGTCCTCCAGCTCCACAGCAAGCAGCAGCTTTGATCGTTTCGTCCTCATTCATCAGTGCGAGGTAGCCATGCGCGCTAATCGCTCCAGAATGAGAAACCTTTTCAGAGTTCTTCTGCTTTCATCACGTCCCTTTTGTCCTCGCAGTCTGCTCACCGTCCTGAAACTGAGGAATACGGAGGGACATTAAACGCTGCACGACGAGAAACTGCTGGAGACTCAGCTGATCCAGAAACATCACCAAACTACAGACTACAAATTAAAGATTACAAAACCATACATGTTGCAAAATATTATTATTATAATAATAATAATAATAATAATAATAACTTTATTTCTATAGCACCTTTTAAAAACACAGGTTTACAAAGTGCTTTGACAAACAGCAAAAACAAGAACAAACTAAACCAAACACAGAAGAACATAAACAACAACAAGAACAGAACAAATACTAAATACTAAAAATAATCAACACAATTCAACAAAAAAGAACCCAAAGTGCACGATACCCAACAGACATATAGAACCAGACCATTATAAGAACCATTAATGACGGAGGCCCTAGGGGGACATTTAATTGTACTCAGTTTTTCCCGACAACGACTTTGTTTTCCCAACATCTTAAGTTTTGATTATTATTATTATTATTATTATTATTATTATTATTATTATTATTATTATTATTATTTTTGGGGGCATTTTTGCCTTAATTTGCTAAGACAGCTGAAGAGAGGCTCCTCTGTAACGCCTCTGTTACGACCTCTGAAGGCGGTACAGAGGGGGGATCACTTTGTCCCACCATTATGCCTCCAGGACATTCAGATTGAAGGTGAAACTACACAGGGGTTTAAATATATATGAAAATATTATGGCTTGAAACGGCAGTCTGAATAGGGCTAGTGACAACTTTAATACAATCAAACTTTGACAACCCATAGAGTCGCCCCCTGCTGGACAACAGAATGTAAGCAGGTTTTGGGCAATAGAATAGAATAGACTAGAACAACTTTATTGATCCCAAACTGGGAAATTGTGGCGTTACAGCAGCAGGTTGTCCAAACACACAATATTAGCAAAAAACACAATATTAGCCAATCTAAACACAATATAATATTAAATACAAAGTAAATAAGCACTAAAAATATCAAAACTAAGAATGGGAATATATAATATAATAATCTTTGGCTTCACTTTTGTAACCAAGACGATATACCTATTTTTTTATTTTTTTATTTTGGTGTGTGTTGGTTATTTTCTGTCCGCTCTGTGGGTGTACTGCGCCTTTAAGAAGCCTGTTGAGTTCATTTGACTGGAGCTTCGATGACGTAATTCTTTTATTTTTATCGCAGTGACCTCATCTCTTATGGCAGCAGCAGCAGCAGCAGCAGCGGCGGCGGCAGAGAGTCACCCTCCGCTGCCTTTAGTCTCCAACTTTACCAGCTTCTACTTTCTGTCTTTAACCCTCCAAACCGACAACAAACCCCGGGTCCGACTCGGTCCAGAACCCGCGACGAGCCGTTTGGACCTGTGACGTCGAGTTTTCAAACGGTGAGTTAACCGTTAACGTCCGCTTCAAAAAAGTCTTAAATCAGCATCTGGTAAAGTTCCGTTAACGGGGCCTAAAGTTAAAGTTCAGTCCCGTGTTTGTGTGTGTCGGGGCGAAGACACGGAGCAGGAAAATGTCGCTGTTTTTTGGGGTGTTTTTACGGTGGTCACTCCGTCCGTAACATCGGAACAGACCAACAAAATGTCCTTCAACAACACCAGACCCCGTTTGAAAAGTGCAGAATTTAAGCGGAGTTAAAGTTATAAAGACATATTTTCTGACATAACGATCTTTTTTAAAGAGTATAATTATAAGAAGAAACTCTAACGTTAAAAAATATCACCTTAACTCTTATTTAAAACTTTTATACCTTTAAATACAGCTTACATAACCTTTTATTAGCTGACATCAGTCCTCTTGATTAATGCCAAACCTCGTTTAAAAAAATGAAGATTTTAGAAGAGGAAACGTACGGAAGAGGATTAGGGTCAGACAGAAGATATTTCCATTATAAACTTCAAGAAAAAAAGTCGAAATGTCCAGAATGAAGTTAAAGTACGAATTCGAGATTTAAGTCACAATTTCCTAGAATTAAGTCGAAATATCAAATATCAAGAGCTTAAAGTTAAAATACAAATTCGAGAAAAAAGTCAAATTGTCACGAATAAAGTTGAGATGTCGAGTAAAAAACTATTTTGAAAATTAATTTGAAATGTTGAGGAAAAAAAAGGTAAAATGTCGTTAATATAGGAATTTAGAATAAAGTGAACATTTCTAGGATAAAATCTAAATGTCTAATATAGGTTGAAGTTGAGTTGAGATTTCATTTAAAAATTGAATTAGAAATATCAGGAATTAAAATGTAAAATTTGAAATGTAGAGAATAAAAGTTGAAAGGTTGAGATAAAAGTAGTATACAAAGTGGAGAATAGAGTTGGAAAACTATTTAGAAAATAAAGTTGAAATGTCGAGGAAAGAAGTTGAAATTTCGTAAATAAAGTTAAAATACAAATTCGAAAATGGAATCAAAATAATATTCTGAGGATGTTGAAGAAAAAAAGGTGAAATGTCAAAATTAAGATACAGATTTCTGTCTGAGCTTGTTGAGGAAGTCGTGTTCAGCTCTGTTGGGTTTGTATTTTCCCTGAGAGCAGACTTAAAGGTCACTCCGATGACAGAAGCTCTTGTGAGCGATGGAGGTCAGCGGCGGTGTGCTGCTGCAGGTGATGAACAGGTGGATCTCACCTGCAGAACGTCCGTGCTGATCGTTATAACAGTCGGTAACACGGGTCAGGGGGAAGAAAGAAAGGTAACAGACTAAAAATATGTTAAGCTCCGTTCAGAGCAAAGGTGTAATAAAACGTAACCCGTGAATATTCCGCCTTCCTGATTTTCTGAAGTCGATGACATCACCCTGAGGTGCTCCACTTCCCTCAGACATTATCGGCTCACTTGTTACAAACAGGAGGTCGTCATGTCTTCAGATATCTCCTCTGGGAATCGAACCTCAGCTGGTCTGTCGGCCGAGTGCTGACTCGACACTTGCGGCGTGATGACATGATCACCGCCCTGGATGACAACATGGAGTCTGTCTGGCGTTCGGCTGCAGGGCTGACTCAACATGTGAGAGAGCTTCTTTTTTCAGTTTAATCAGTCCAGTCGTCATGAAACCAGAATTGAAACGTGGATACGATGACAGTCGACCTAACGACAGACTGAGAGCTATGGCGGGTTTTAAGCGTCCTCACAAACCATTACACGGCGCCCGCCATCAGTCAGGTCAGCTACAGATCACTTCACTCAGACGTGTAAATACACACCCCCGTCGGTTATAAATCTTTTAATCCGTGTTAGTCCTGTGTGATGTCGGCGAGGGGTTAAAGTCCTCTGATTGGCCGCTGTCTCTGCTGAGTTATTAACCTTTGATCAGAGTCGTCCGACAGGTTAAACACCTGAACTCACCTGCTGCAGGTCAAATCTTTAATCTCCTCTCTGCTCTTTGTTTTCACTCATCGTGTCTCCGGATCGTTTTCTGGGTCACTCTCTGACTTCACAGGAAGTCGACGGAGGAGGATGATGTGGTTTTGTTTTGACATTGAGGAAATCACAGTTACTTAATTTTTACTTTTTGTTTTTATTCTGAACAGACTCAGCCTTTGTTCACGAGCGTCAGCTGTTTACAGGAATGACACAAACAGTCCTGAAATAGACATGTGGTGATATTCATCCGTCTGAATCTGTCCACTTCCTCGCTGCACTAAAAATAAACTGTAACCACGGGCGTTTTAAAACCGTACAATCTTTATTTTAATGATCGATAGCATCACCAGAAGTCAAACTTCAGATCTCAAGTTTTATTTTTAACTAACAGAGAGAACACTCAAATCAAAATTGCACCAACAAAAACTTTTGGAAAAGAGGGAGGAGCTGAACTTGGCTGAACACTAGACATTTTTTAGGAACGATATTGGGCCTGATTTGGCGCCCCAAATAGAGGGGGCGTGGCCTGATTAGAGGCCGGTCGCAACTGATTGTTGGTCCAAATAATCCTCAAGTGTGTTGGTGTCTCTACGATTATTTTACTGCTCCTGATCGAGTCGGAGAAGAGTCCATCGGTAAGCGTCCCCAACTGGATGTTG